GGGGGGGGGGGGGGTGGAATTTCAGAATGGTGGGCCTGTTTCAAAGAGGGCCCGAGGGAGGCCCACACCCAAGGCTGGACAAACAGGCTCTCTACCCTTCCTCTGTTCCTCCAGAGCTTTCATCATCCAGGGGCAAGGGAAACAAAGGACTTCCCTACTCCCTGAACCCACTCTGTTGCGGTGCCTGTGGTGGTAGCACAGCAGTGTGACACTGGGGAAAGTGTGTGTGCCTGCACTCAAGAGGAGCCAATGAGGTGCCAATAGTCCCCCGGGGGAGGTGGGGGAGGGGTGACCCAGATCCCCAAGGGAGCCCTGCTCCCCAGTGTTTTAGAGCTGTGTATGAGGAGGTTAGGCTGGGCCCTTAACCACCTGCTAGGGAAGCCAAGCTGAGCAGAAAAAACGGCCAACAGGAAGGAGCACAGGAAACACCTGTGTGTGGATACAGGTGGCTCATTCCAGAAGCGTCGGGGCTGGAGTGGGGGTGGTGGCAGGCAGACAGCCCTCAGCACATGACACAGCTCTATGCTCCCTCTATAACTATGAAGGGTGGCATGGAGGGATGGTGGATGTTGTGCAGCTCAGCTTTTTGGATGGTTGGCTAGGGTGGCAGGGGGTGGAGAAAGCAAACAAGTGATAGAGACCAAGCCAGCACCCAAAGTTGGCCACAGTTTGGGCCTGCCCCAAGAGCCCCTATAGGAAGAGTACAGTCCCAGAACCACCCCAAGGAGCCTATCAGGCCTGAGGCCCCACAAGAGGCCCACTAGTGGGGCAGGACTATCCACTTGGATCCAAATTGTAGCCTGTGTGGTCAGGAAAGAGGAAGTGAACATTCACTGGCCAGGTCCTGGGAAAGTGCAGACAGGGGTGACTGGGCCAGGATGAGCTCACAGCTCAATCCACAGGAGAGCACAGGGCCTGGGCAAGAAGTAGAGGATGGAAAAATATCATCCCAACCAAGGGTTAAATGAAGCAGTCACCAAAAATCTGAGCAGCCTGCTTTCCAATGCTGAGAAGGGATAGGGCCCCTAACTCTGTCCTTTACAAAGAGAGTCCCAAGGCCAGAGCCTAGTATTCAGCTCTAGCTGAGGGTGAGTGTGAGGGTCAGGATGAGCAGGAGCCAGAATTAGGGCACTGTGAGCACAGCCAGGTACAGGTGAAGGACTATCAAGACCAAAGCAAAAAGTCTCAGGCCTTTGTCCCATCAAGCCTACCTAGCTTAGAGTAGTGTGGATCAATTCCAGAACAGCCACTCGACCCCTCTCCATTAACGCCCTGATGTCAGGCCAAATGGCCTCCTACACCTAGGCCCAGGCCCATGTATGTGATGTAGTTGAGGACAGGGAGAGGCTCTCGTACCCTCCCCTCCCCCAACATACACACAGCCTCACAGGTGCTCCCCCACCACCTGGCACTCCCTCCACCTCCTACCTGCTGTCACACAGGTTCAGGGAGGCACTCATTCCTGCTGCCCAAAGTGATGGGGGGGAGGGGGCCTGATGACACCATCAGGATTCAAAGGCACCAGGGCAGGGAAAGCCTATGCGTAGCTGTCCTGTGGAGCCTGTGCCAGCCTCTGTGAGAGGACAGCAGAAGTGTTACATACTGAGGAGTGCCCCATCAATCAAGTCCATCAAGGCCACAGCTATGCCTTTGCCATCATAGTTGGAGCTCTCCCAGGACAAAATATAAGTGTAGGATACAAAAGAGGGACCAGACTGAGGTAGTCCAGGATAGTTTATTGTGTTGGTGGTCATCGGCGCTTCCCCTTTCTCCCCCCTTTCGTCTTCTAATCTTACCTTTTTTCCTGTCTCCCACTCTTCTTCTCCATGTATTCAAAGCTGTAGAGAACCAAAAAAAAGAAGAAAGAAAGGCATGTTTGTGAAGGCAAAGAAGCAGATGGGTTGGCACGTGGGAAGAGGACTGCTTGCTTCTTTGTCTCACCCACAAAGTGGGGGTGCCTTCTTTGTGTGTTTCTGTGCACGATGTGTGGGTACAATTTGCTGAACCCTAGGCATATGACATGCTCCTTCGCCCTCCTTTCCAGCCACCAGACAGCCCTGGAGTGTCCTATTCAGGCCATCTACCTGCCATGGCTTGGCTATCGGACCCAGACCTTCTGTGCCTGGGTAATATTGGAAGGGTAAGTTTGGTAAGGACTCCAGGGCCTAGATGAACAGCTATGGACAAGCAGTCTATCATTTAGAAAATGAGACCGTCAATAGCCTGCAAGAGAGGAGCCTCTTTTTTCAAAAGGTTACAATATGGTGGTGACCACATTTGAGTTTGAGTTTGATGTCAACGGTCAAGTCTCATTTGTCTCTAAACATACCCAGGGCATATGGACTCTCAATAAATGCTGCTTTAGAGCCACTGAATAAGTAATTGAATTGCCATGGCTAAAATCTACATCTCTAGCTATTTCCTCTGAATCTCCTTACAATCCTCTCTCACCTCCTCCTCAAGCATCCTCTTACAAACATCACTCCCTAAGATTCTATTCTAGGCCCTTTCCTGTTCTCTCTTGAAACACTCCCTGAACTACCACATCTATTCCTCTGACTCCCATTTATATGCTGAGGCTGAATCCAATGATTCACATGGCTCTCTCCTCACCCCATATCCAACTGCTGGCTGGATACCTCCTTTTGAATAGCCAAGGTGTTTCAAACTCAGCATGCCCAAAATCAAACTGAGTATCTCAAAGCTTGTTTCTTCTCCGGGTCTCTTGAGGTTACCAAACTACCAGGGACCCAAGCCACACAATGACCTCAACCTTGACTCTTTCCTTTGTCCCCTCATCCCAGCCACCAGAATCCTCTCAATTAAATGCCCTAAATATTTCTAAATTCTGTCCACTCCTCTTTATCCCCGTTGGCACCACTCAGATTCAGGACATGTTGACCTCTAAGACACTGAAACTCCCTCACAGGCTTCCTGCCTCAGGTCTTACCCTTCTTCCATCCATTTTCCATGGTTCGTCAGAATGATTTCTTTCTTTTTTTAAAGTTTTATTTCATTTATTTTGAGAGAGAGAGAAGTGGAAGGGCAGAGAGAGAGAGAGAGAGAGAGAGAGAGAGAGAGAAAATCCGAAGCAGACTCCACACTGTCAGTGCAGAGTCTGATGTGGGGCTCGAAACTCACAAATTGCAAGATCATAGCCCGAGCTGAAGACAGACGCTTAACTGACTGAGCCACCCAGGCACACTTTTCAGAATGGTTTCTAAAACAAACCCACCACAGAGGCTCTCCTTTCTCCTAGGGAAAAGTCCAGCCCCCTCAACCTGGGCACAAAGCCAGCTTCACTTTTGCCACCTAACTTCTTCTTCTTCTTTTTTTTTTTTTTAAATGTTTATTTATTTTTGAGACAGAGAGAGACAGAGCATGAAGGGGGGAGGGTCAGAGAGAGAGGGAGACAAAGAATCCGAAGCAGGCTCCAGGCTCTGAGCTGTCAGCACAGAACCCGACGTGGGGCTCAAACCCATGGACCATGAGATCATGACCTGAGCCGAAGTTGGACACTTAACTGACTGAGCCACCCAGGCGTCCCATCTGCCACCTAACTTCTTGCTCTGCACTAATGCACTTACAGAGCTTGCTTGCCCCTTGTGGTACATTCTTCTGGCCTCATCTTGCCTTGCTAATGCTTGCTCATTTGACAGGCTTCAACCTAGACATCACAGATTTCTTCAGAAGTGGGTCCCTCCACTATGGTCCTGTCATAGGAACCTGCACTTACCCTGGTCCAGTAGTAATCACATCCCATTGCAATTGCTTATTTACTTTGTATCCTCATTTACTTTGTATCCTCCAGTATGTATACATGTTACCATAAGCATTTGCTGACTATTCTACTAGGTAATAGGCACCATCCAAAACATTTCAAGTATGAAAGTACCATGTTTAATGCAGAAAAAGCTTAGACACTCAAAACACTCTTCATGTGCCCTACAGAACACAGTGTTTTAGAATGCACTTTTACACTGGGATCCCAATTAAGGAATAAAATGGAAGCCAGAGCATGGAACAATATAGGGAGGGAGAGCTGAGGTTGGACTGGGAGAGGAGGCAAGCAACCTAAATCCACAGGGGCCTGAGGGGGGCATTAGAAATGAGGCTGAAGAGGGGCGCCTGGCTGGCTCAGTGGATGGAGCATGCAACTCTTGATCTCAGG